CATTGTATGGTGAATTAAACCCTTCAGAGTTCAGATGCATCAATATTTTTATTAGGTACCTTCAAGAAATTAATTGAGTACTGATTAGAACATTATGAATTTTTATTTTCATATGTCTTGTAAACGAGCAAAAAAATGTAGAACTCTGAATACAATTAAAAATACAACAATATCATATAGGTACATCATTTAAATTAAGTGAGTGAATTTATTTTAAATGAATTAATATTTTTTGTAGGTAATTTATCATCAATTTACATTTCAAACAAAACAAACCCATATTAAGGGCAGAACTTTTTACATCAAATTCTATATAAATATCATAAATATAGTTTTGCAAAAATGTCCACACTAACACAGATTTAATTATGAATTGGGTACCTACTTCAAATTAAAAATATTAAATATTTTGAAACATAAATCCACAATATTACAATATTAGAAAATTTGTAATATGTATTAAAATAATAAACAATAAATTCTTTGGAATCAATATACTCATAATTTCCTATAGGATGCAAATTAGAGGTTGTAAAATTTGTTTAGTTTGTTTGCTCCTACTGTTTGCAAATATTTCAAGACGATTATATTACGTATACCCTCAATGGTCATCAGCTGCTTCATGATCGCCGTCGCTGCAGACTTCTTCGTCTCTTGGAGGGCAACTTATAAACGACACCCTGTCGCCACTTTGAAAAGATCATCAAGTGAGCGATTTTTCATAGTCGCTTTAAGTAGGTTTTTCGAAATGTTTAGATATTTTTTTTTACTGTTCCTGTTGCCACTTATGTAGCCACTAACCAGTAGGTATACAGGCCTGTACTACTGCGACGGCCGAGCTACATTTTCAACACTGAAATTATTCTGATCTGATGGCTAAAAAATGTCGAAACAATCTCGAAAAAATCATCAAGTGAGTGCACTGAAGACCTAGCGGCGCGCGGCGTACCCATATGTGTATTTACAGTGGCCAAACTTTCTTTGATTAAGTTCTACTAAGAATATATTTTTGCATTGAGGATCGACTCACGTAAAAAAAATATTATTTTATCTTAAAGTCTGTATAACTATTATTCATAAAAAACATACTTAATATAATACAACATTACATTAAAATGTAAAGTTGTATAACAATTAGTGTTTAACATTAAATTTGCTGAATAGCTTCAAATATATATTAACATCATACTGTTGGTGTAGCATCGCCATAGTTTATGTAGGTAGTGATATCAATTTCGTAAGTAAGATTATCTTTGAAGTCCATCAACTCGAGCACTTCACTTTTACTTTAATCAGTTTTTACTTGATTTAAGACATATTTTAAGTAATATAAAATATAATTGTTGAGAACCTAATTTAGGAACTATTTAAATATCAATTTTAATACAAATAAATAAAGTTTGATAATATTCTTTGTATTAAATAATTTTATTAAACAAGACAAATATATTCTTTTGTCTGTATAACTTTTTCAATTGTATATACAACTGTATATGCAACTGTAACATTTATTTTTTTTTCCTCACGTACTTTTAACCTAACCCTAAACGGCGCAGCACAACATGCGCCGGACGAATTTCTTCGTCCGGCTCCAAATTGTGCGACGCCGTTTGGAATGTATAGGCTCGCTGGCCAACAACTCCTGACGAGTGACGTCACTACATTTGTCATGCGTTTCGGGTTCTGGTTGGTCCATCAGTGAACAACGTAGAAGGATGTTCGGTGCTGAGGACCACCGACAGCCACCCATTAATCTTTTACCTATGCAGCCACCGAATTCGCTTGTCTTCAGGATGCCAGCCGATGTTACCCGAAGTTCCGGCTCAGACGTACACGTTGTCGTGTCAACTCTGTCCGGTGTATCCACAACGGGGGAACTAATCGCATGGTCGACCAGCGACATGTAATGACGAAACGTTTGTCCTGCATAGTTCGCTACGGGCATATTGTATTCCGGTAGACTGGATGGGGTAGTAAGTTTGGTCCGATCTTTTTGGGCTGCTGGAGTAACTTATACGATTGTTCGAACGGGACTGACAACGACTGATAAATCTCGGCGTCTCCTACCGAGTGTTGACGACATGTTGTCGCCACGTTTGGCGTCGACGAGTATCTTATTATGGCCGACCCTGTTCTAACGCTGGTTGGAAACGTCGATGGTATGTGAAATTCAGCCGATCTAAGCTCTTCGAACGCTAACTTCATCTTATCACTCTCCGTCAACTGCAGCTTGATGGATTCAGACGAGGTAAACATATTCAAAAATACGTATTAAGCTAGTACAATGATATAGCAGACACGCAGGTCGATGCTTCAAGGTAGAGTAGCAAGTGGGTAATGGCTCATACGTCAACAATCTTCGAGTGACAAAAATAATTTATACTAGTCAAACCTATCGCAACGATGTTTTGTTGATTTTGTATCGACCAGAAAAATATTAGGAACTCTATTAAATATTGTTACAAATACATTAATTTAAAATTAAAAAAAAAAAACAAACGTTTTGATTATCTGAGTCTTGGGCCGACCTTTATTTTTTTTTTTTTTTAAATAGGAATGTGGCTCTTCTGTGAGAATATAAATTGTATTACACTATGGAACCTGTAGGAGGAGTTAGCTGAAGAAAAGATGAAAAGGTGGCAGTGTATACGTTGGCACCTCTTTTATTTTCATGGATTATTAGCCAGATATGAAATTACTTAAATGACAGTAATAAATTATATTAAAATATGTTGTATACATTTTATAATTAATGTTTATAATTAATTGTAAATTATTTTATATAGTTTGTTAAGGTAAACGAAGTCAATTTAGTGGATTGCAAAGTTCCGCAGATTGATATTGGGACAAGAAATAAACCGCACTAGTCCCCCTCCCTACAAGTACGTTTTTGAGTGAGGAATACTTTTCACGTTATGTTAACTAGGTTATTATACTCATAAGTAGTGTAGTAGTCATATTATGTAGAATGATTTATGTTTTACTAATAATATATGTATATTTTCTTAATATTGTTATTTTTTAATATATTAAAATAGTTTACTAACCTGCCAACGTTAAATTTGTTAAAAGATTATAGGTTCAATATTAGGTAACATTAATATTAATTGATATAGTAAAATAATATCAATATTTATTTTATAATTAAAAAAAATATATGCATATTGGTTTTAGTTCTATGTGTGGGTGGGTGGGTTACAACTTACGGATAGCTTCAGTATTTGTCCCTAAGAATAAAATGTTCGTAACGCCACTGAGCATCGGGTCATTCCACACCGTAAGCTAGACCATGATTATCCTCTTAATAATCATCTCAATGTGTTCCTCTGTATCCAGATTTTATGACTTTCAAAGTGAGAAAATATCATTTCGCACAAATAATAGATTAATATGCAATATGCATGCAACAGTGTGAAATTCGTGTTTTAATTTTAATTTTTAGTGTATTAGCGAAATGTATTACATAAAATAATTTCTGTCAACAGTCTAACTATAAAAATGTTGGTTATCTACATAATTTATAAATACCATTTACTATGTTATCATAAAAAAATGTTTGACAGCATAAGATAAGCAGACAAATTGAAAAATTGAACGCTAACTACTGTGCTTTGCTATTACGGTGCGTGCCGGCGGCGGAGCTCCCGTAGGAATGATTAGGGGGGGGGGAGGTGCTTGGAGCTTAACCATCCCAAAAATATTGACCCCCCCCCCCCCCAAAAAAAAAAATGATTGTACATTTTTCAAAGCCACCATTTCTTAGTTTGTAAAGAAAACTTTAAGCTCCCCTAGGCGACAATTATTGGGTACCTACCTTTCTACTAAATATTATTTATTGGTATCAAAAATAGATACACTGCGTTATTTGCGAACCAGCTAAAATGAAACCGCTTTGGAGCATGTTTGTTTTATGAACCGGGCAAAAAGAGATATTAGTATAGAATCGGACGCAGTACCTATCTGATGGATTTAAAATAGGTAGGTCACCAGGTAAGTATAAAGTAATGTGTGAAAATGAACAGCTTAAAATGTAATCAATTAATCGGAAAATTAGACATTTTTATTGGTGTGAAAATAAATCAAGACAGCCAAAAAAAAAGAGTATTTTTTAAAATTTAATATGTAATTTCGTTAGGTAAATTTACATTTTTCAAAACTCAACTATTAAATATCGTAGGTGGTTTATTAACAGTAACACAAAAAGTTAGTAAGATAGGTAAATTAATATTTCACCAACATGTTGAACATATAAGTACTAACATTTCTTAAAAAAAATCCAAAAAACCGTTTAAAAAGTAAACTGTATTCGTTCCTTAGTAAGTTTTAAATTTTGAATGCCTATAAACTATACCGCTATATAGAATTATACAAATAAGCGCTCCTAGTGGACAATACACTAAATTAAATGATGTAAAATCCCGACAGAACTTCTGTTAGTGAAATAATTTGTGATGTAGTTTGGATATTTGGAAACAAATTTCACCATGTAATTTGTTATCAGTGCCCATTCTAGGTACATGATTTATTCTATCTCATTTTATTCAGTGCCCCCGATTATTCATTTCCGTGTTACGACCACGGACTAATACAGACTTTGTCTTAGTCCGTGGTTACGACCCACTTTTGGAAGCCGAGTGACAACACTTATTAGCTACAGTTAGGTTAGGCTCGGATATTCCCATCTACCAGGACCTGCCACCTGGTCGTGTCGGCTGTCACCCTATCATGTACTTAAGAAGATCTTCTTAGTTCATGCCACGAATTAAGATATTAAGATAAGTATATCTTAATTCGTGGTTCATGCACCCTATTCATACTCACGATTTAAGATAGTATCTATAAATACTATCTTAAATCGTGTTCATACTTATCGGCTATCGCGCGGACTCGTGCTTATCCGTCACTAACTTCATTATCTTCATTATATCTGCGTTATCTTCGTATGTACCACGGTCTTTGATTAGGTAAATGCAAGATTATGTTATCACTTATCATGACACGTCTGGATTTTCAGTTTCCTATTATTTTGATATTTCATTTTTAGCCTGTGATTTTGGTTTTAATTTGTAAAATAAATATATACTTATTATTTTAAGTGGCCACGTATAAAATGTATATTAGCTTAAATTATTATTCTGTTAATTCAAAAAATTTCAGCGGAATCGAATGAAAACTTCTAGATTATATTTTGTACTCTTTATTCTTTAGTTATTCCACACATAAATAACAGCAATGGATGTAAGTTTTTTTACGCTCAGTTAGACTAGACTAGACATACACTTGTTTACTTTTAAGTTCTTAAAATACAATTATCTTTAAGTTTTTAATGAACTCTGAAAAGTAAATTTTTATTTAAACATTATTTCTTGTATAATTAATGCTTTTTTTATTTTTAGTTTTTAAATACTAATACCGGACAAAATAACTTCAATAATCCAAATGGTGGTCATACTGCAGTTGTAAGTAAATACTTTATGGGCTGTACAATTTAGTTTTAGTAAGCAACATATTGTGTTTAAAAATTAAATGTCTTATTTCCACAACATAAAGTTATGATTTAAATCAATATTAGAGAAATAATTGTATTTAACAACTCTAACTATGCAAGTATAAATTTACTCATATTACTATAAGTTTATCTGAGTCTTACTAGAAACTATTTATAATTGCATCTATACAGTGTACTGACATAATATACACAAGGTAAATCGTACAGATATAATAAAACAAATTATTAAGTTTTCTGTATTTATCTGTATAATGTAATAGTAGTTTATTTAGTATACCTATTTTTTATTACCTACTTAAAATTAATAAAAATGTCCTTAATAACCAAGTAGGTATGTGTTCCTAGCAAAATAATAATTATTAATTTAGTAATTAATTGTTATCAAAGTTTATAACTATTATTAAATAATTAATTTAATTAGCATGTGTTGTGAATTTGAATAATGTAAATAAAATCCCTGTTAAAGTCTACTACTTTTTTGTTTTTAAAATTTAGATACTTAGTTGATGATATTAGTTTTTGATTAAAATTATTATTTTTTTTTTAAGTATATTGATGACCGACCAATGAATAATGTAGAAGGACGGATGACTGTGTCTGGATCACTAATGCAAAATATTGGTGACCCTGGGTTCAACACATTAGATGAACCTATTAAAACTACTATTGTAATTATGATATTTAATACATTAGTTACTATTTACGGATAATGATGAACATTTATTAACTTTAGATGAGAGACTTAAAAGCAGTTGGAATGAAATTCAAGCACGTCTTGTATTTAAAAGAAAAAAATACGCTTCTAAAAGAGTGTAAGTCTTAAATAATGGTTTATATTTTTTTATTATTTTATATTTTATAATAAAAATTATGTTTTTAGGGGACTTGTGGGGCCCTTTGATGCTTTGCACTTTCATGGCCATGTGAGTTTATTAGTTTTTACTATTTTTTAAAAATATTATTGAGTTATAATAATTATTATTATTTAAGGGTTCTACAAGCATCGCCAGATTCTGTACAAATTGGTGATGGAGGTCCTGAGTTTGCTGAGGTTTTTGTTATTATTTGGATAGGGTCTGTAATTATTACATTAAATTCAAAATTACTCGGTGGCACAATGTAAGTATACCTTATTTATGTTATTGTATGTATTCATATTTTATACCATAAAATTCTTTTTGGAAATTATTATTTTAAATTAGGTTATGTAAAGTATTTGTTGAGTTGTATTGTCAATGCCAAGCCAGGATTAAGACCTAAAATGGTTCCCATTTTCTGAAAAAAATAATCACTGTTTAAACATTTTAATAAAATTGTATTGTTATACACACAATATAACTTTATAATTAGAGGGAAGTTGCATAACATACCACAATCTAAGTACATCAATTACAATTTTGAACGGTTAACTTAAATATTATTTATCATCAAACTTAAAGTTATGAAAGTTATCTGTGTCCTCCTATTGGATTTTTATGGTATTTTAATTTTTAAGTGAATTATAAGTATGTAAAATATGAATGTTTAAAAATGCTCTCAATTCACTTGAAAATTTAATTATCGTAAAAAATAAAAGGAAAAGTACAAATAATGTTTTTATTTTAAAACAACAATAATAGTTATAAGTGAATAATCAATTTGCTTTAATATTTATGCTAACAACACAAAATTGGAACTTCAAGACTTACATTTTGGTATGTTTCGTATTCGTAAGGTGGAGAAAACACAAACAAATGTCCTCTTTTAATAAACACGTCATTGTTATTGCTTTAATATTTACATAAAATATTACTTAAGTACACTTACAGAACTTACACTTATTATAATAGTTTTTTTTAAAGTTAGAATTTGAGAAAAAAAAAATTTTTTTTTATAACTTCTTTATTATTAAGTATTACCAAATTATTATTTAAATGCTTTTATTTTAAGGTTAATTAATTAATCAGATTATAGCTAATATTGTGTTATATTTGTCACCATTAATTATTTTTTAAATATAAACTTTTAAGAGGCTAAAAACCAAAATTATTTATATTTTCTTTCTTTTTCTTTTCTCTCCGCCACTGAAATATTTTTATGTTTCATTTATTTATATATCTTACATAGAATAATACTTTTAATATTGTTTGATTTTTGTATGATGTAATCAATTCATTTTTTTTCCAGATCATTTTTCCAGAGTGTATGTGTCTTAGGTTACTGTTTACTACCAATTGTTATAGCCTTGATAATATGCAGATTTATTTTAATATTTGAGCAAACCAATTTCTTATTTTTTATTCGATTTGCCATATCAATTGGTTCATTTTTATGGTCCACGTATGGTAAGTTATAATGCAATGAACAGACATTTTTAAAAATAATTCTTAAATTATTGTATTTTTTATTTTAGCCTCTGTTGTATTCCTTGGAGATAGTCAACCTCAGGGGAAAAAAGCTCTAGCTGTTTATCCAATATTTTTGTTTTACTTTATCATGTCATGGCTTGTATTATCACATACAGTATAGCGTTGTTGATCAAAATTACATTTTGAGATGTTACGTGAGTTTTGTTTATGACTTGTAATTATTTATTCTGTTTTAAATTTTAACTGTTAAGTACCTAACTATTAATATTTGGCGCTTGATGCCTTCAATGTAAAGTACCCTGTCATGTGAATAAAAGTGCTATGTTTATTGTTTCTGTGCAATAAATCTTTCATAATATTATTGTTTATTGTGTTTTTATAGTTTCAAGTATATCAATCTTATTATTTTTCTCTTATTATAATGTTATTCAATTTTATGGTTAGTTGTTTATGATAAATTGTTTAAATTAATGTTAAATAATAAGAATAGTTAATATTGATCACAGTAAGTTATTTGTTTAACTACCCAGAGTGACCATGTTTATTCATATACTTAAAAACGCATTATTTTTAACTTTATATTTGGTACACATATGATCATAATACATTTGTTACAATTAAAAAAAATATTTTATCATAAAGTGTGTAATTATTTATATTTTGAATTTGAACTCAATTACAAGACTTAATGAAACAGGTTTCTCTAATTAAATGTATTATGGAATAAACATGGAAATCTATAATGAGTATATACTTTTCGAGTAGCCTCTCAAAAAAATACCACTTCAAACACTTAAGTTTTTTGCTAGTTATTATTGTAGTATGAAAAGTTTAAATGTTAATTATATGACATAATATGTATGTTTATATAAATCTACAAAATAGATGTATACAAAACTAAACAACCAAATGTAGATCGTTGAACTGTCCTATAACTTATATAAGTAATCCTTTTTGTCAATCAATTTGTTTATATTTTTTTCTACAGCCAATATGACTGTCATCATTATTAATGGTCCCGATTTTTCTTCTTTTATGATTGAACATAAATTTGGTTTTAATAATTTCTGTGTTTGAAAGTACTCTCACATAGCACTTGTATAATGTCAAATTTAATATAAATTTGAAAACTATGAATACATTATAAAACAAATTTGATTAAAAAGATAGTTTTTGAGTTATATTAAAAGTGAAGTATATATTAATAAATAATTTCATGTATCCGGTAATTATACGTTTATACACTTTATGCTGGTATTGTGAATTTACTTAATGTAATTAACCTCTAAAATATTTTTTAGCTTATAAGTGTTTAAAATATATATATAAGGGCCACATCAAAAATTAAAATTTACTGGTTGGGATCTTGTAAATGATCACCTCTTAGCTGCCCTGGGCCAGGCCGACGCTGTCTATAAGACTTAAGTATGATATTTTATATTAATATACATAATCCATCTGTATCAAATTTAATTTATTTTTATAAAAATTGTACAACAATGTTTTTACTATCTCAGCGAGGACTTGCTGAGATCTTATAGCATTTCTTGCCTTAATCTCAAAATGAATATACCTAAAATGAATTTTATTTTTACATATGATTCCGTTTTATATCAATATTTATTGCATAGTACACTGAAGTGTCAATTATCCTTGCTATAACATTTTTGCACAAATTTATTTATAGATACTAATTTTATTGTTTGTATTATAATATTAGAGATTATTTTAGTATCTGCTGCGGCTCACTTTAATGTAGTTGTGTAATCTAACATTCAGTTGGTTCGTAAATGCTCGACTGAGTACTCATTTGAAATAAAATTAGTTCTAAAAGAAAACATTTTCACATGATATATTTTTATTTTAGATTGTTCTTTGTTCACAAAAATTAAAAATAGATTTTAAGCTAATTTGATGAATTATTGTTTAGCAAATTAAATGTACATTGTTTTTTAAACTTATCAACCTACTTAGTGACTTATTAAAGTAAGCTTATGACTGTTTTAAGGACTTAATTGAAGAAATTCTTTTGTATCTTCGGTTTATTATTTTGGTCAACTGTAAATAAATAAAATAAAATAACTTAAATGTTTCAATGTGTTACTTTAAATATGTTTTTTTTTTAATCAAAAATCAGTTGTTTATAAAATTACATTTTAAAGTGTAATATTGTAACTTATATAATTAAAATTTGATATCCCAATCCAATTCAACGTAAGCGGTAAAAGATTTTATCTATCTTTTAGCTTTTTTAATTTTTTGTATACAGTATGTTGGCAATAAAGCCCGATAAGCTAGGTTTTACTAGTTAATATTAGGATTTACTAATCATACTTGCTACTTAGTAGTAGGTCAAAGGCTTTTACTAAAAACAATTTTGTTCAACCTATTTATAAATATCAACATAAAATCTGGTCCATTAACATAAAATGTTGAAGTACAAAATTCATTAAAATAAATGTAATATTGGCTCAAAAAGTATATATAACTATGCCCAACATAAATACTGTAGATTCATCAATTTCAGCATAACTTTCAACTTGTTAAAATTTTTTCTCCAGATTTTGTTTTGTTTACCTCTAGTTTACTCTTATTTTCTGCATAATTTTAAATTTCAAAGAAATTTTATTATTGAGAATTTGTCTTGGGATATACTATTAGCAGTATTCTTCTCATTGTTTTTTCTTCAAACCCTACTATCTGGTAACCATAAATATAATATTTAAATTCCTAGGTACCATTAAACATAACACCAATACTTTTATATCAGCTACATGTCTGAGTGCTTTGTACTTTGCACATTTTATACCTCTTCTAGAATATGGTACAGTTGTATGGCACCCTTTACTTGCAAAACACCACCTTTTCTTTGTAAGCATGCAAAATAGATTCTCATCATATGCTAGCTGTATTCATAATATCCTGGCTATCCATCACGACTATTCACTTATCTGTGAAGTCTTACAAATTCATACTTTCAATTCATGACACATTGAAACTGACTAATAATTTGTTATTTCTTTGAAAAGGGTCTCCAGATCTTTTTGGAAGAGTAATTTAGAAATCTCTTTTAATCTCCCCGCAATAAGTATCCTTTCTTTATCCCAAGTCTCGCCACTTTGTACAGCCATAACCCCACTCCCTTTACCATACCACATACCTAACCACATTACTTTTCTGCTTGAAAAATCTGTTACCTTATATTTATTATTTATATATTATTTTACAGCTGTTATCTTAGGTTTTGAACTGTATTATATTTCTTTACCACATTTATCATTTATTGCTGTATATACTTCAATAAATAGATCGGTTATAACAATTTTCATAACATACGTATTACTATAATATTGAATAATAATATATGTTAGAAAATCTAAAAAAAAATTTGAAACTCAGTCACGCAGACTAATTATTCATAAGTCGTATTAAAAAACATAGTAAAACTCTTAATTATTGCATTATTTCTTTAATGTACGTAATATTTATGTAGTTTTCACAAAAAATTATATTAAGGAATATTTAACAAAAATAATAATAATAATAATAAATTAAAGATACAATTATGTACATACCAAAAAAAAAAACAAAAACAAAATATATTGATCTACAACGTTTGGGGCAAAAAAAAATGTAAGTTAATGCTAATAGGTTAAGTAAAACTATTTTAGTACACATTGAAATTGGAAATAGGGGTGACATGACAGGTAACCAAAAATAAAAAAGGATTTTCAGTTAATCTTTGTTTTATTATCTTAATATTTTACACATACTAATAAGACTAAAATTAATGTATCCTTAACATTTAGTTACCTGACACTTTTGACGTATACAAAACCGATAACACGGCCCCTAGTATTTATAATATTATAATAATAATAAAAAACACAAATACACTTAATAACTATTTAATTTAACTTAAATTTATAAAATTATATATATAATGTGTGTGTTTATAACATATATATTCATATACACACATTTATATATTAATTAATTTATGTTAACACACCTCTCTATTCTAATGATATGAACAATGGAACGGTATACATTGAATTTTTTGATGTTAAATTTGTTACTGAAGTTGATAGTACTGCTAACCTTTGTAGCACAATTAAAAACATAAGCATACTTAAAAATATTGTTAAAAGCAAACATGATCAATGGCCGGTTATTTGATCCGTTCACATTTCGGGATTGAACGTCTTGACAGTGAACAAACACTAAACAGTCATCGTGTTCTGTACTAGAAGTCAAAACATTCAAGCCCAACTTTAAATCCACAAAAAACATTTCTATTATAAGATACTAATGTACTATAGAAGAGTATTTTGAATTTTATGTGAGGGTTATGGGATATGTTGGAATTGGCTTTGTAGGCTTTGTAGGCTATGTCAAAGAAAGTGGCTGAACACATAATTGTAGGAACAACTAAATATAGAAAAAAACATTTGAATAAAAATTAAAAAATTAATTTCTAGTTCTTTGTAATAATAGATAAAAGAAAACCTAAATTATCAAACAAAATTAATAATGTAGAGAGGCTGATAACACTAATTTATATATTATTATTCTCTACAGCTATAAGACTACATTTTTATTGTATGGGATTGATAATTTTACCAACAATTTGTTGGAACCAAACCGATATTGATTTGTTCCTTGGAATTCCTTGTATTCCTAGCCATGGTTATTGTTTAGGTTATGGTAAACTTACTGAAATCATTTCAAAATAATAACTGGCAAATAATCACTAGGACTTAAAATATGATAAGAATTGATTAATAACTACACAATTGCCTTACAGGCAAGACTTTAGGAACTTTTGTGAAATGAATAAAAAAAGGTGGATTTGAATGATATGTGAATTTAAAAAAAAGTTTCATATGCTGTGAATGGACCCAAAAACCGATAATTATTGATTTTGAATTTAGTTTATTGAATTGAACAGATTTAAAAAAAGCCAAAATGTATTATTTATAATATATAGGTTTGAGTTATAAAGTCATACTAATAAAACACAGCAAACAATGAACTATGAAAATTGTTATTGTCTCCTTAAATGTTTCATTATATTTAAAATTCTTCAAAAAAAAAAAAATTGTACTTTTTTCAAGTCTCCAGGTTATGAATTTGTATAATTTTAACATCATTGACACTGTCGGAGTGTATTTAATCCCAAAAAAACCACCACCTGCAACGGTGTAACAATGAAAAATGATAACGAATTTAACATACATAATGTTCTCGATTGGTGGTTTTCTAAGACTGAATATTTTAATACTATAGTTAATACAATTTTCAGATTAATATAATCACTTACAGGTATGAACTGTCACTAAAACAGTTTTATCGAGAAACACATTAAAAAAAAAAAAATACTTACATATAAATTAATTAACAAAAGAAAGAGCGCTTGTTAGCACAAAAAAATACTTAAAAAGTTTGATTTTCAGACCGACAATGACATTATTTTGATTAATCCCCAAATTTAATGTTACTATTTACAATATGAAAAGAAATGAAATATTTCACTAACATTGTTACAACAGATCAAAAAAAAAAAATACTTATCTAAATTTAAGTTACCTACTAAGTATGATTAATTATTAAAATACTAACCACTATTTCTTTGTTTGTTGCAAAATAATAAATGTATGTACAAACTATTTATAAACAGATATAAGTATACATATACTATAATATAAACATTATATTGTAATAAATTAAATCATAGTTGATTTACTTAATTAAGTATTGCGAGGATAGATCTTTTAATTGTTTTTATTTTTAATTATTTGTTTTACATAGGAATTGTTGCTAATTTTCAGTATGAAAGTCAATAGAAAATTTTATGTGACTAACAGAGTGATAATTTGCCATCAATAGGAGCCCTGAAATATCTACGTTGGCCGAGCTCATCAAATCCATTGTTTAGGGACGATGAGATGGACCAATGTCACTCACTGTTATTTTGATGGTGGTGATGGTGATGATGACCCCCAATGGATGGGGAAGATACAAGTGCTAGTGGATGTCCTGGAGAAGTCAGCATGGGAAACATGTCACTCTGGTTTTGTACTGACATTGAAGCAGTAAACATATCTGTGTTGGTAGATGTGGTTTGACCAGCCATAGTTGTTGTTGGTGGATTAATGCGTTTCTCTTTTTGCCTACGGTTACAGAACCATACACGCACCACTTCTTTTTCCATGGATAGGTTATCAGCCAATACAGATATTTCTTCGGATGTAGGCTTAGGATTTGCTCTAAATGCTTTTTCTAAAGAATATCTTATAGATGTTTCAATGGACGTGCGTTTCTTGCGACGTCTTCCGATTGCTTCTGGTGTTGTCAGAGGATTACACAAAGCACTAGGATTGGTCATTGTACTATCAGCATCTACAAGCCACTTTTGCAACAGTGGTTTTAACTTGCACATGTTTTTAAAAGACAAATTCAAAGCTTCAAACCTAGATATTGTTGTTTGAGAGAAATCATTGCCATACAGTTTTCCCATTGCAAGGCCTACATCACCTTGAGTAAAACCTAAATAAAAAATTTAAGAAATTCATAAAGTTGATTCAATGTAATTTAAATGTGAAAAATATAATATCCTTACCTAATTTGATGCGTCTTTGCTTAAAGAGTTTAGCAAACTGTTCTAATTCTTCGAGATCGGTGGTATCATCAGTGCTAGTTTTGGTTTCTGCCAGCCGGCTTAGAGCAGCTGCTGCAGATAGATCCAAGTCATTATTAGATGATTGGGTCTGAGCGGAGTGTTTAGAATGATGGGATGGTGTTGAAGAAGCAGCTGGACGTATCGACTGATTAGGACCATTGCCAACTGGAGAATGCTGATGGTTGTTAGTCATATTTTGAGCCTGTTGGATCTGTTGTAGTTGAAGTGATGCTTGAGTCAATGCTTGATGGACCTAAATATTACATGTTTTGTTAATAACCGGATAAAAATTACAAATATAATACCTATGTAAAATAATTTTCAATTTAATTTACTTGATTTTGGAAAAAAAATGGAGTCTGGTTCTGATGTGTTGCTGTAGACTGCCTCATTAATAAATATTGAATCTGTTGCTGAAAAAGTGCTTGAAGTTCTTGAGGTGTTAGAGAAGATTGGCCGCCCGGAGGGCTTCCGATCAATGGATTGCTTTGCGGTGATAAAACTCCTAATCCAGGAATCTATAAAATATTATAAACATATAAGGTATGGATTTTGTGTGTTAGACAAATATAATGTATTAATTTTACCTGTGCGAATTGCTGACTTTGTAGTGCAGCTAATGGATCACTTCCACTTGTTACATTTGCTGAACAATTTCCTGATGGTCCGGTACTGCTAACGCCTGAGCTCGAAGAGCTACCTGAATGTCTGTGCGAAACCTGAAAATGTAAATAAAACTGTTCAAATATTGAAACATTCATTGTTTCTTAAGAAACATATTTTTATTTTTATTTCATGAAAATATTACACAAATCATTGTCTATAAAATGTATATTTCAATATTATTTATTTAAATGAAACTGTAGTCACATTGGAAAAATAAGCTGAGAAAAAAGAGACTATAATGGGATATCTAAATACCTACTTGTTGTATACCTATTGTAGAAGAGTTATACAAATACTAGAAAGGCTCTAGTGCACAATATTCACAAATCATGTACTAGGTATTGAGGTATACAGTTGTGAGTAAATGTGTAATTCAAAAACAATTCATTTAAAGAATAAAACATTACCTAGTAATACAAAGCGAAATGAAACTAAAGGATTAATATATTATTTTTATGATATACTCGAATGTCGGACTTGAAAAAAACAGAAGTAAAAAAAAACTTAATCCCTAGTCAGTTAATATACCGATCACGTTTATTTTGAAAATGATAAACCCAAACTCGTGGTTTTATACACATAATTGTGTGAAAATAGTTATCGCGAGTAATGCGAACCGAATAACGGGAACACAATCTTAATAAATAAACTGAACTAAAGAAAATAATAATAATAGTAAATTTTTTTTTTAAAAAAGTCATTTGGTGATTTCTGCGTGGAGAGGCGGTGACACTGTGATTTCGGGGAAAATTTAAACCGAATACTCGAAACGACGACTGGAAAACGTTTGCTTGCGAGTCACACGTCATAGTCGGTTGGTCGTCTCAGTTACGCGAGTGTAGGAGCATAAAACGAAAGGACGTTAAAAGTTCGCGCGTGGTATGTCTCCCTTGTGACACACAAAAGTTGCATCGTCGTCAATGTGTGTTACGCCTTCGTTGTGTAATAGTTGCATAGTATAATATTAATTATAATTAATTAATATTATTACGGAGGCTTGTCGAATAGTTTTTCGATTGCATTGTTTACAAATTTTTCAGTCATCGTTGATGTATAAAATATTTATAATGTTGTAAATATCGTATAATGAGATCATTTGCGAGCGACCGACGACGACGCGCGGAAAAACGAAACTGGAAAATAGCTACAAACTCGGCGCCGAAGGATACGTGACATTACACGAGGTCAGCGGCAGCGGTAAGTACACGATATAATAATAATAATAATAATAATAATAATAATAATAGCATACAATACATATGTATTATAATACGAAATTGTAACACAATATACACAATAATGTCGTATCCAATAGACAATTTGGATGGATAGGCAAAAGCGCAATGCGAGTGAAAAAAAACGATATTATTATTATTGTGCGTAATAAACACACATATTAAGTATATGTGCCGAAAAAACTATGACTTGTTTTTTGTAACCGAACACCGGCTGCCAGTTTTTTATCGAGTTTTTTTCGTTATTTCGTTATAGGTGTATAGTATAGGTGTTATACGCGCCGCGTCGGTGGCACGCGAACGTCGTTATTTTGTTATTTTTTATCTCTGAACGGTTTTACATTTCCCCCCGTCTCTTCGTTATCATTTTGCGTGTTATAATAATTGCGAAAAAATAAATCGAAGTGCGTAAACCTCTTGAAAAAATAATACTCTACGATGCGAATACATCTTTACTGATTTCGAAACGGATAGAAAAACAATGCATACACGCACAAACACACTAGGGGGCTCGGATTTAAAAAATTAAAATACACTACACATTTCGATAACGTTTTATGCACCCAGATATTCATCCTCCAGTGTAAAATGTTGTTCGCGGTATTATATAGTTCTTGCAATTGTAAGATGAATCATTGTCTTCCTAAATAACCAAAATTATTTTGTTTATCATTAAAATAGGTATCGCTTATTGATTTATTCTCTAGTCCAAGCTATTGCCATTTGCTAACTACTAACCGACCAACTATAATAATTATTGTACTTAGCGTAATGTTCAAATTAATAAATTATTACCATGCGTTTTTTTTACCGACATTAATTGGGTTTTTAATATTGGTAAACGATTTATTCTGGAAGATAAGTGAATTAAATACACAGTTAGGACATTGGACTAAAAAACCTGGATGATGTGTATATAATCCATAACGTCTAAAATATATTGTGAGTACGAGTTATAGATTATGGTTTATAGGAAGTGTAGCGTTCTAGTGTGTATAATAATAATTGACACGTCCAACGGTGGCGAGAGAAAATCTTTTCGGGGAAAATAATAATTTTCCATCGCCGCCATCTTTACCGACGACTTTTACCGAGACCAGGAAAAGCCATTAGGAAAAACGCTCGGGCCTTATTACGACGGGCGTTGACAACGCGGCGGGGGTGGGGAGGAGTAGCGTAGAGGAGTCTATATAGGTACCTACGCGTTTCACCAAAGTTATTAATCAATTTCTATCAATCGGTAGATATATGTTGTGTGTGTATGTGTGTGTGTGTCATTGTTTTCGTTGCTTCGTCGAACGATGTCTTATACGCCATATGAACGTGCATGTGCGCGAATATATGACGGCTGTCAAAATTCCTTTTATTTAATTATAACTTATTTCCCTCGTCGATGAGAGGTGTTGTTTTTGGACTGAGCGGCCACGTGCGCTTTAGGGCGTAAGGCATTCGGCGGTGCGACGGTTATACGCCAAACTTTCGTCGAGATCTAATGAAAAAATAATCATTGGCCCAATATACTCTCTCTCTCCCGCCACGCTGTCACCACCCATGAATATCGATTTTTTTCAAAATTCGTATAATCGTTATAGACTATTATAGAGACTTGCAAGTCAATTCGTAAGTGGAACACCTCTTGTCTGTGACAATAATATTATACGAGTTCACTTGTATAAACATACGGAACGAGTAGAAAAAAATATATTTAATTTGACTGGACAGGCACAGTCTTTTTGAACTATCGTGTTGTGTTATACCTCTTTAATTTATAAATACGGCGAATATACGCAACTATATTTCGTCCCGATTATTTTTGATATTATTGTTACCCACTTTCGAATATCGGCCAAAATTCTGTCGCATTTCTACAGGCAAAATTCTAAAACAAACGGTACTACAGTGACATGACAATATCTCTATATATTGTAAAAGGAAACGAAAATCGTAGGTACTTTTCAAATGGAAATTCCAGATGGTAAATTTCGAATTTGAATTTTAAATTCGAACGCAGAGTATATATATAATCTTGGATGTCAAGTAAAAAAAAATTGTATATAAATTGCGGATAATATAATATAATATGGGATTCGATAAGTTATATGTGTGTAACTGTGCAAGACAGTTCGTATATGTGTGTTTTATTGTGGATACATATTCGATGAGTTCCCATATATTATATTATATAACACACACAGCATGTTTGCTGAAATCGAAAGGGGCGATTTTTTGCGCCTTTTATGAGTTTTTTATTTATTTAAATAGCATACGGCGGGCCCTTATTTTGACCGCAGTTCGCACTCTTTTTGTGCCGGACTATATTAAAGAAGGGTCGAATATTAGATAGCCTCGAGCCACACATATTATGTATAATATATATTATATGTTATATGTATAGGAAACCTATCGATGTATAATCTTCAATAGACTGTAAATGTTTAAATATTGGGACGAAAGTAGTCTAACGCGTATCAAAGGCATGTTGACCGGACACTCGGAATACATTATAGCGATATAAGACATCGCATTATTATACAATGAAAACAGATCGGACTATATAATACGCATATACGATAATATGTATATACACCCCTAACCTATATATTAGGCGTGTGGAGAATTACCATTCGCGTTCATATATATTATATATAGGTGCATTATAAACAATAAATGGGTGCTTTGTGCGTATATTGTATATTATTAATGCTATAGGAAGGATAATAATTAATATATCACATTAGAAATAAATATAGAGTGAGTTGAACATAACTCGTCAACATTAATATACATTGTACTTTCAGAGGAAAATATATAAGTACACGCGCACAGGATAATTTTTTTCCAACGACTTGAATAATTGTCGAGCCTGTGGGTTAACGCCCCCGGCAGACGAGCAGTATACATAATAATATTATGAGATACGATATTATTATAATATATCATAGGCATCACATGATATGTATATTATAATATACTACAACACATAGACACGTCGAATTTTGTGCGCGTCGTTAATACAACCGCGCCGCCGAGGCAGTCGTGATTTCTCTGCACGAGCGTAATTGTGAAATTAAAATCGAGAAATTACAAACTATACGGATACCTACGCGTAATTAGTGGCGGCGAGCGTGGAATTTATTAAATCGTCGGGTAGCAAGCGGTTTGCAGTACTCCTCTAATCGCGCCCGTCCCCCGGGGCTCCGGTAAAACACCTAACGACAAGGCGTAAAACAAACACCACCCGACACACTATGGCCGACCATGCACTTAACGTAGGTATAGGTAATATTAAACCGCGAGTACGGAGAGCGTTTTTTTTTTCTGTGACGTTTTAATATTATAATCATTATTATACATAATTTTTTGTTGGCGAGTGCTCGCAAACGTTTATTATATATAGGTACACGTACGCGGGACCGATGGTTATATATGTAGGTAGGTACGTATCATGATATAGTATTACCCGTAGAGTATATTATGTATATTATAATATAATAGATAGGTATACAGTTGTATACACCGTAAATCGTAATATTCGCGGCGACCTGTTATGATATATCGTGTGTTCAAGTGTTGGGAAACATAAACGTATCCACAATCCGTCGTACCTACCTATACATATATATTATATATAGTATACACAAGTGGGCGTAATCTATAAACGCATTTCACGAATAATCATTATGATTTGTGATAACTGATAAACACGGTTTTGAATAACGAAAGGTAAAAAATTTCAAGTATTTATTAATATTGTTTGTACGAATAATATTTCGATCTATGATATTATAATAACGATAGAGTCTTTGCATAAATTGTTCAACTAAATCAACATTTTCGTTATAACTTCGAGTATAGTCGTATAGTAGTATAAATCATATAGATACACAATATAATATATAGTAAACAAGAGCTCTGAACTAGGGCTAACGTTATGTAGGTTTAGTGTATACAATGTGTACAGTGCACAAATATTGAAATATGTTCAAATATGCAATTTCGACCTACCTATATATTTTTAAAAGCATTCCACAATATTGAAATATATAGCTGTTACTGAACTTTTGAATAATAGTAAAACAGAATTAGGTGGGTATTATCATATTATTTTTTTAAAAATATTTTTCCAACTATATGTGATTCGTATAAAATGTCACTGACGGTAGTTGTGACTTATTGTGAAGCGAACATCTTTTATTTATTATACTTAAAACAGTTATAACATTAACTTCTTTAACATTTACCAAGTTTAATGCTCCAATTCTATCTGGTGATCCATCCGAGTTGAGCAACAAATCACTTCCAGTACTGTCCTCGCTGTGATCAACGATATCTTCCACCCTTTCCTCATCACCATTATCATCTATAACACAAAAGATAATATTAATCACAGTTTTATAATGAAAAAAAAAATCGTTCCATAACCGATTTCAAAGTTTTAACAAGCTTCATACTAGACATTAGTACATTCATGTCATACATAAATCATTTGATGTACAATACTTTTTGTGTTGCTTGGCTCGTGCACGAAAGGGGTGTCATTTGCCACGAGCCTCACCCTTTCTGTAGAAAGGGTTTAAAAAAATGATTATAGAATAATTTACGCTTTTATAATACAGCGTCATGATTGGGCCGATGATGAATTGTGTGTAGGGACAAAAGACGATTACAAAAAACTAACCCCGCATCTAAGTCGTGTACTTTTGCAATTGGTTAGTTATGCAAACGAGGGTTCGCATTGAACATGGCTTCCAACTACCCTTTTTTAACCCGCTGAATGTGCGTAACACACGCCCAAATTATAAAGCCAACATAGTTTTTCTAGTTTTACTGACGTTTCAATTTTACTCGGTTATAATCTAAGTTATAATTTTATTAATAAAACAGATTATCTATATACATTGTGTTAACATTTTATTTTAAATATAATTTATTATTATAGATGTAATTTTTTTTTATACCATTAGTATTATGTACATACTATTATAATTAGGGCGGAATTGTCATGACCATTGATATCGAGGGTTGCACCAGATTTTATACCCAATCGTAATGTCAAAACCTCTGTTAATTATGCTGGTGCCCGTATGTCTAGTTTTGTTGAATATAAATAAAATAAATATAGTCTAGTGTACCTACTCACTAATGTTAAAATTAGGACAAGTTTTGAACATTTTCAAAACTAGTATTATTATCTTAACAAACAAAAGAAAATCTTGCTGAATCACTTTTACCCCTATATGCGGGCTAAATTGTACTTTTTACTTTGAAAAATAAATTTCGTTCAATGTCAATCACAAGAGAAATATTTTCCCATAAACGATTAGGGGTTGATTTTAAAGCCAAAAATATAGTTTTACGGGTTTACGAACACACAAATTGAGCCTATGCTATATGCAGTTTTTATATTTTATGCAGAAATATAGGGAGTGAATCTTTTTTACCCCATTTTCACCCTCTTATATGGTTTTACATTTACTTGAATTTGACCCCTAAAGTTATGATCGAGGTTAAAGCAGATGAGCTGTATACTCATATATTTAATATACGATATTGTTATTTATAAAGTTTATTATTTTATGAGTACCTACCTACATAAACCTATACAACACGCATACAAAATATTCGAGTTGCGCTTACCTAACATAATCTAATCTAAATAAAAGTATTTTTAAGCTTACCTTCTTCTGGAGCTGGTGATTGAGACTTTTCACTTTTCATACTTTGGGCATCAATACCTGTAAAAAAAAGAAATTATTATCATTAGACTGTTCTATTTTATGGTATAAAGAGGGGTCTATTTCAAAGGGTTGTGGGCTCGTGCTATGTGGCTGTTGTGTTGTGTTTCTGTTCCTCACGCGTTCACTGCCTAAAGGGAATCGGTCGAGATTTTTTGAATAGAGTCGGCACGAGATATTATACAAGGACCTGATTTATACACACATTACCCATTGTTAAGGGACGTGACCAAAGCGGTTATAAGCGAAGGGTAAGCTATTGACAAAATACAGCACGTGATATCAGTAGCTATTTTTTTTTTATAATTCAGACAATTTCCAATTATATAATCACTTCTTTTTTTTTGATAATATTTTTAAGTTAAAATTCGAGATATATTTTCCCATGAGTAATTTCAAGTTTGTTAATGATCAAAGTTACTATATAAGATCGTTTAATTTCTAAAACTAAACTCTACTGTAATTTCCCAATGGACTTGAAATACCAAACTTATATGAAATAAAATGTATAGCAAAAAAAACTTTTATTTATACATTTTTTCATATCTAACAATAACTCTGATCACGTTTTCACAATATTAATACAAATGGAAACTCGTTGGAAATAAAACGTGAAAAATCTAACAGCAGTACTCCAGTACCTATATAGCTAAAAATGACCACAATACGAACGTATGAAAATTCACGAGTTTCATAAGAAAGACTTAGGGATTGGCAAAACACATTGAACTATTATACAAGACGAGTGAAAAAAGATAAAGGCCATAAGTAGTATGTACTCCCAAGGGTGACATTTCGTGTTCGAAAGTGCGATTTAGTCAGAAGTGATGTGTCTTATTTATACGAACGTAACGCGCCAAAAAAGACAACCCAAACACCCTATGGCCATTTATTACGTTTAACCTCGGTGGACTATATTTTTTTTGTATATATAGGGAACTCTTTAGTTGAGGGGAAACAAACACGAAAGGTGATGGGAAATTTAAATTTATATACCAAAGCGCCTGTCGAACGAGTCCAATAAGTCAGTTAAATATAAATAATGGTCAGTCGTTAGTTGGTCAATTTACCTCTGAAATTCCACTTTTGAATTTTATACTAAGGCCATATGAATTAATAATTTCCTTGCGATCTGGATGTATATACTTTGACAAAGGGGTGGAGCTGTCTATCATGCCTGTCTTTAAATTTGACGAATCGTATACGCAACTTTAACCCAATAAAAAATTTAAGAGCATGTCTATTATACACTTTTACAAATTACTGACAGTGGATACTCAACGTCAAGTAAAATATTATTTTTGAAAGAATGCACATTTCAAAATATAAAAATAAAACCTATTTAGTTATTATTAACATGAGACATTTTTGTATTTGATGGATCCTTTTGTAAAAATTAAAAAATGTTTCCTTATTTGTTATTTCTAAGGTATCAACATAATATGATACAGAATCTAAAAATTATATAAAATACTAGAATATTATACCTAAGCATACTTTATAGGTCATAATAATTAAAATACCGACCAACAAAAAAAAATGTTAAATATTGTCATATTGCAATATTTAACAAACATAAATTATGTTATTGAAATTTAGATTTTTTTAGTGTATATATATCATAAAACTGATGTTGTAATTAATCACCGACCACATTATTGCAGAATAATGAATGTGTAAAATACCTCTATAGGTCTTATAATTTATACTGATCATAGACGATATATTAGTTAGGTACAAGTAATAATGTTAGGTTGTTAGATTGTTTTTGTGTACAGTGGATAACAATTATTTTTCTAGTAATATATAAAAGGACCTTTTGATTTCACTAACTCGCAGAATGACTCATTTAGATATTGATCGTTGTTTGTGTGTGACATATTCTAATACCCTCGCAAATAAGAGCGACCGTGCATGCGTAATCCATATACATATAGGCGAAAAATCCCCAAAAACGAGGGTAGTTTTTGTCTCGAAACTGGATATATGTACATGGAATACATTATAGTAATACAACTCTGTGAATGTTTGCCGCACGTATATTCATTATATTCCCCAATACATCGCAGATGTTGGCTCGGGGGCGGACTGTAATATAGGGGTCAGCAAATCTTGCATATACGAGTGAGCTGTAGTCTGAATCATTCACCGAAGGGAGAATAATTTGAATCGGTTTTTTTTTTATGAAAAAACAAAAATGAATAAATAAATAGACATGGCAGTAAACGGGCCAAAATACAAAGCACATAATTTGAATTTCCATCGAAAAAGAATATAAAATTTAGTATTTGCGAATACTATTTTAATAATTTAAGCATGGTTCAAAAGGTTCGCCCTAAACAAATAAGTAAAATAGCTGGTATACGTTAAAAACGAAGGGCTAAAATAATACCCACTTCATTCTCCGCGCTGCTGGCCAAAAACGTCGGAATACCTATTTTATTTATTCTGGTCACTACTCACTACTTCCATAACTAGGCTGTGTATAACAGTATGTAAATTAAACAAAATATTTCAAACACACGGATTATCACGACATTTGGTATATATATTCCACGCGCGTGTGGCTTATAATATTTAGTAGGGTATTAAAATTGGAAGGATGTATTACGCGGCGTGTATGTGTACGTGTGTGTATATTTTTGCATTATATATTTCCAATAACACCAGGCTACCATTCATTGTGAAAATATACATCATACAAAATACCACCAGCAGTTTTGAAAATGCCGATTCAGGGTCGATACGGACATTTAAAATGTATATTTTATTATTGTACACATTATAATCTTCAACACATGTGCACTGCGTACACTATCTTTACATTATATGCTAATCCTGCCATCCTGGGCTGACCACTTGGTCTGTATCCCAGGTAGAAAGAGAGATTTCTTTGGAAATAATTTGAACAGACCCCTGTACCTGACAAAAGACTGTACCCAACGCTTATGCACATTGACCTGCAGATATTTTTGTATTATTATGATTTCTACAGAGAGAAAAAAACGTGACCTATTATATAGGTATATAATACAATATATTCTCTTATAAAACAAAATATTATTTTTATTTGTATTATGTTTATAATAATGTATAACTATTTGAATATGTAAAAATGGAAATGTTCAAATAGAACGAATTAGGTACGTAGTAAAATGTATGTTTTAGGAGAAAAAATAAGTAGTATAATTTACTAGGTATGTTTTACACTTCAGTTTTTTTTTCAGTAAGTTGACAAAAACTATAGCTCTTTTCCCACTTCAAAACTCCCTTTTCAATTATTTCCCATTAACTATTTCATTATGGTGTCCACTACTACACGCATATAAGTTATCAGCCCCTTCCAAACACCCCAAGCGGCTAACTCTAAAGGCCGTTAATAATAAATATCTATCCTCCCCTACCTCAGACATTAGTTGAAAGTTCTTCATTCCCTAAACTGAGAACCAACATGTGCACAATAGTTCCGTCATCTTGAAACCGAGTATATATATATTAAACGATGATAATATTACTCTTTAGCTCTTATTGTAACAAAATTGTAAGTGCTATCTATTAATATATCTATTATATATATATAAAGTAAAATGATATAATTTTTCTAAATGGAAATTAGAAACTCTGTGAGCCCCGTATAAGTTCATATTACGTCTTATACGTCTTATTAAATTCAACAATCAAAACTACAAAATAAAACAACATAATATAATACGATACAAACAATGTAGAGTTATCATAATCGTACAAGCAATAAGTATCGACTTCGTGTCTATAGCTGGTCACGTAATATAGAAGAAAATAAAACGTATTAGGAAAGAATAATTTATATTCCTTAGAATAAAACTTTCTCCAAGTTAAATATTTTATTTTAAAGTAATATAGAAAGCGAACTATCATAGTTTTAAATTATAAGCGATTTAAAAATTGGAAATATACAAAGTTATCATACCTAACAAAAATATTATGCTAAACAGCGTGTAATTGGATACTAGCCATTGATCGAACGGTACACATGATTGTATGAGTCAATAACGTTTGTTTACATATTATTTGACAATAGATAGTTAAATTTTTAAATTTTGTTTGTTATTCTTATACGCAAAATACTAAAATGTAAGCATTTTATTGAATAATATTTACTATTTAGGTTATCCTAGTCATAATAAAGTATAAAGACTTACTCGGATAAGGAAAATATTTAATGATTTCAATAAAAGGTTCCATCGTTTCTATTTAAATTAATATCACACTCATAAACATAAAAACACGTGCATGAACAACGATATTTACGGATCGAACGTTTCATAAACACTTGGCGTGCTATACTATTCAAATATACGTTCGGACCTAATTTCGACGTTATTTTATCCCCACCCACGTTAAAATTTTTGGTTTTTATTTATGTGTACAGAGTTACAGATTTTTATTACCTACTTAAAATGTGGTCTCTACCTTCTCGATGGGTTCAATTGTGTCTCAAAATTCTTGCTTAACAATATGTATGAAAAGTAAAGACCATCACAAAACATTTAACGTGAAACACAGTTTGGGTGTTTGACACACGTACCAGTGATTCATATTTCAAAAACACCTAATGTTTTATTCAAGGAGGAAGATGTATAATATTATGAATACTCAGTATTGATGATAATTTATACATGATTGTTATTTTAATTATTATTTTTTCAAACGAATTTTGCATACTATACGAATATGAGAACTAATCAAATAAAAAATGAGACCATATTTAATATAAAATTTAAAAAAAAAATTATTACATAAGTGATTTTACAATTTTGAGAAACCCTGTAAATCTGCATGCAATATTTGAATTCAATACGGCTTTACACGTTCGAAATTCTTGGCACCCCGCTGATTATTTTTGAATAAAGATTTTTCAATTGAATTTATACACGTATAGCATTTCGAGATGTTTCTCCCTTTGATGTCAGTACCTATTTTACTTATCAAATACAAAATAGAGTTTATAGTAGTTATCT